TTGTTTGCAATTGCCACTACGGAGTGAGGAAAAATCATGTGGAGATCGACAAACAACGTGAAGATGAGGCCTGAGGAAGTGTACACTGAGATCAGATAGAACGGTTGCTCTTGCCTTCTAGGATGGGGTCCAAAAGACTCCGTAACAGATTTAAAACGCTAAAAGAAACAACAGCGTGCTGACGACAGTTGCGTTTCTGATGTCACTTTTATCAGGTCCAGATACATGAAAGTTGTATGCACAGTCAGAGTGTGTACTCCCTAAACAGAGGTTTATTCTCCATCAACCTTACTCAATCTCAATTACCTCGTGTATATTGAGTTCGGCAGTGGTTCGTGAAGGTTGCCTCACTACGTTCCGCTGTAGGATAATCATTATGTTTCAGATTTGGGTGAAAATCAGGAATCACACCTGATAGGCTGGATTTTAAACTTAAATTTTTACTCATTGTTATGAACCGGACGCCGGCCCCCAATAGACTGCGGTTTTCGCATCGCCCCGCTGCCTGGAGGGTTAGGCTTTGGTTAGCCGAAGGCTCCGGATGTGGATTCCTCAAGACAATTCACCTGCCTTGTCTTGGGCAACCTGGCAGTAATCGGCCTATATGCAAATCGCGAACGTTTTTCTTTTTATAAACATCACTGTACCACGATGTTTGGCATAATCTGGCCTCAGAAATGTGCGAAATATAATAATAAAATGAACTTGCAGACACCTTATACAATACGCTTATAGCCAATGGATGTCAACTACAACCTCTGATGATTCAAACGGAACGTGAACTCAATCAACTCAGAACCGATAAACACGAGGGAAGTGCTTTCCAAAAGGATATAAAAACCAAAGCTAACTGAAAGAGTTGATCGCTTTATAGTGCGAATACTGAAGAGCGAACTTTACAATTAAAACATTGCAACAGATCGGATTGATAAAAATGTACAGGGGATGGGGGGAAGAGACAGTCATGCACTTCTATAAAATTTTGTACCAGCACAACAAAATGACAAACAAGCAAACAGAAAGCTTTTGATGACATACTGGATCAATGAAGAGAAAGGGCAACGAGCGGAGGAAGGGGAGCGGGAATATCTAGAGTACCGGGTAGGATGATCATAGGTTAAGATACATAGGAGAAAGGGGAGTATATGGCTTGTCAGGAGGGTGGCTGCTGCATTCGTGACATATATGAGTCGGATTCAAGTTTGCTACCAGTATTAGAATCGGTAGAACCCATAGACCCAAACACGTTGGGTGCTGCGGTGTTGGTTTGATGAATCGGTATGGATTGATGTTGACTAACATAATGCCGACCGTCGCCGCCGCCGCCGCCACTTCCCAACTGATTACTGAAACTGAAGGTAACTGGTGCACTTCCCGATCCAGAACCAACCTGATTACCGGGACGAAGCTGCTGAAATATTGCGGACGATTGGGTGCGAATACCGGGTGAAATGGTAGTACGGGAATTAAGAAGATGAGAGATTGGGGCACTATTGGACGAGACCGCCAAATTGACTCGACTGTGCGAAAAGTTGCTGTTGGACAGACGGGGACCGGGTGTGTGTGGAACAACAGACACAGCTGCAGTACTTGTGGCAGCTATGGTCCGTACGAAGGCTGGTTGGATGACAGATCCCCGAAGCTGCAAAAACGAAACATTTGTATGAGTCACTCGATCGTTGAATATGTTCAAGTCTGGGAGACAAAATCATAGGAAAAACGAATTAAACTCCTCTGTATTATGTGCGATGAACAACAGGCTAGGTAAACTCCTTATTCATGTTTACTCATGGAAAATAGCAATTTTAGCCACGGGATTTCGAGTGGTGAATGACATAAGGACCCACGAATTTGTATGTGGTACTGAGCCGGACGACAGTGAAGCCGTCAAGCACCAAAGGTGGCGGCAGCACGGTTTGAAACCCCGAACCATAGAGCCTAAAGCTCGCCGGTGATAACGATTAAAACCTCCTGATTGCTAGAACCTAAATTCAGATAGCCTCAACTGATTTCAAAATATTTATGCTACCAGTACTCACGTGCAGTAGCGCACGAAGAGAAACTGAGACATATGAGAACTGCCTCCGAAAGAACCACTATGGTCGTGGGTGAGTGTCTAAGGTTGCGGCTGGTCACCATTCCCTTGCACCTCACGAGATGCTTCAATACGACCAAGCGTTTCAGACAGCCTCTATTGAGGAAGCCCTACTCACTGCCTTCTCGCGGCGGTGCTTTCTCGCTAAAGTGAGAGGACGAAAAGCCGATATCCGGGGCTATAACCGGGTTGACTAAAACCCTGATTCCAAACCAACCAAAGGGAGGCGTACGAACCACGCCTACACCTTTTTGGTTGTGGCAGTGGTCCCTGGCTTGATTGGGCATTGAGGTGTATTGAACACCCTGGACGTTTGACCCCGTCCGATGAACTGAACATCGGCTCCCAATGGACTGCGGTTCTTAAACACCACCCCGCTGCCTTGCGGGTCAGGCTTTGGCTAGCCGAAGGCTCCGATTGTGGATTCCCCAAGAAAATTCACCGGCTTTGGACTGTGCAACCTGGCAGTATTCAGCCCACAAGCGAATAATGGAACATTTTCTTTTTAATGACGATTATTGTACCATGATTTCCTTGACAGTCTGTTCTCAGACAAGTGTGAAATATAATACATATGAGAACTCTGCAATTCGAGATATCGCACACGAACGATAAAAGTCAATACAAGCTTCCGATTACATCAACATCATTAGGTATGATACACTGTTACCGTGAAAACATAAACGGTCAGTGACGGTATTTCAAAGAAATGCGTTGATAGTTCCACACTAATCAACACCAGGATGGAAATGTTATCATCACTAACAAGAACAAAACACGCTGATGGTCAGTTTTCACATTCAGTTGGTACAACCATCAACCACGCATATTCGTGCGCCGATTTTGGTTGCTGTCTTTTGGCTGTCCATTTGGATGAAGAATAGAAGAAAGGAAAGTTGAAAGCGGAGTCGAACAGAAAATGCAGAAGTTC